CGATTTACGCAGAATGAGCTTACAGTATCTTGAAGTCTAGCAGTGGTATACTTGGGTTTGGATTTGATTTTATTAATTATGGGATCCCAAGCAGATGGCAGCACCCATCCATCTTCTCTATTGAAATTAGGATGTTTTTTAATTTCAATAGCCTCGCGAATCATCCTTGGGAGGAATCGGTGTTCTTTTGCGAGGATTTGTGGTCTATCAAATCTAATGTAATGACGGGGACGATCCTGAACATGTTCACAAACTGCAGACTTCCCGATACGTCGGTGCTTCACGTCAGCTATATGTTCTTTAACGCGGGTTTTAATAGATCTTTTTGTTTGTCCTATGTACGAGAGACCACATTCACAATCCAGCTTGTACACTCCTGCATCTTGTAGAGGGATATGACACTTGACGGATGGTAAAAATTGACCAATCTTCTTCAGCGGCTTGAAGTACGTTTTAATGGAAGCTCGCTTCAAGATGTAGCCAACCTTGTCTGTGACTCCTCTGACATAGGGTAGTACAGCAGGCACACGCTCGACTGTGGCTGGCTTCACTCGGTCACTGTGACGTAGGCGCGGGACCCGAAGCTTGTTGTCTTGCAGTACTTGCTCGACGTGCTGAAGCTCGGCGGCCAGATGTTTTCTGTCACAGATCCCTCGTGCTCTCTGAAACAAAGATTTTCCCACGGTAGCTAACTGTGAAGGATGATGGTGAGATTCACCATTTAAATATCGGTTGGTATGGGTATTTTTTCTGTACACAGTATGACCAATAGTGTTATCAGGATTTCGGATGACTAAAACATCTAGAAAAGCTAAAGTATTGTTTGCCTCTAACTCCATTGTGAATTGTATTTTAGGGTTTATGGAATTAAGGTGGTTTAAAAATGCAGTTACTTTGTCAGATGGTAAAATTGTGAAAGTATCGTCTACGTACCGCTTGTAGAATCTTGGATTTACAGGAGCAGTAAGAAGGGCTTTCTCCTCAAAGTCCTCCATGAATATGTCGGCGACTACGGGAGATACAGGTGAGCCCATTGCCACTCCGTCTACTTGCATGTAGAACTCTTCTTTCCACAATAAATAGCCAGATGTGAGGCAGTGTTTGAGTAATACTGCATATTCTGTAGGCATGTTGTTATCTTCTAGCTTTCTAGTAACAATTGAGATGCAGTCTTCAATAGGTAGGCATGTGAATAGTGACTGAACATCAAAACTGACCATAGTTTCATTGTCAGCGAGATGTAGGTCTTTAATCTCACTAACAAATTGGTATGAATCCTTTGTGTGTGCTCTGGTATGTCCTCTTAGTGGTGACAGTATTTTTGCCAAGTGTTGAGCCAACTTATAAGTTGGTGAATCGATCTGGCTTACTATAGGACGTAGTGGAGCATTTGGTTTGTGTATTTTCGGTAACCCATACAACCTCGGTGGTTTGGCACATGATGGTATTGTCGAATTCACGTCAAGATCTAATTTTTCGGAGTATTTCTTTAAGAAATACTCCGAAAAATTAGATCTTGACGTAAAATTAAAAAAAAATTAAAAAAAAAAAAAAATTAAAAAAAAAAAATTAAAAAAATTAGATCTTGACGTGAATTCGACAATACCATCATGTGCCAAACCACCGAGGTTGTATGGGTTACCGAAAATACACAAACCAAATGCTCCACTACGTCCTATAGTAAGCCAGATCGATTCACCAACTTATAAGTTGGCTCAACACTTGGCAAAAATACTGTCACCACTAAGAGGACATACCAGAGCACACACAAAGGATTCATACCAATTTGTTAGTGAGATTAAAGACCTACATCTCGCTGACAATGAAACTATGGTCAGTTTTGATGTTCAGTCACTATTCACATGCCTACCTATTGAAGACTGCATCTCAATTGTTACTAGAAAGCTAGAAGATAACAACATGCCTACAGAATATGCAGTATTACTCAAACACTGCCTCACATCTGGCTATTTATTGTGGAAAGAAGAGTTCTACATGCAAGTAGACGGAGTGGCAATGGGCTCACCTGTATCTCCCGTAGTCGCCGACATATTCATGGAGGACTTTGAGGAGAAAGCCCTTCTTACTGCTCCTGTAAATCCAAGATTCTACAAGCGGTACGTAGACGATACTTTCACAATTTTACCATCTGACAAAGTAACTGCATTTTTAAACCACCTTAATTCCATAAACCCTAAAATACAATTCACAATGGAGTTAGAGGCAAACAATACTTTAGCTTTTCTAGATGTTTTAGTCATCCGAAATCCTGATAACACTATTGGTCATACTGTGTACAGAAAAAATACCCATACCAACCGATATTTAAATGGTGAATCTCACCATCATCCTTCACAGTTAGCTACCGTGGGAAAATCTTTGTTTCAGAGAGCACGAGGGATCTGTGACAGAAAACATCTGGCCGCCGAGCTTCAGCACGTCGAGCAAGTACTGCAAGACAACAAGCTTCGGGTCCCGCGCCTACGTCACAGTGACCGAGTGAAGCCAGCCACAGTCGAGCGTGTGCCTGCTGTACTACCCTATGTCAGAGGAGTCACAGACAAGGTTGGCTACATCTTGAAGCGAGCTTCCATTAAAACGTACTTCAAGCCGCTGAAGAAGATTGGTCAATTTTTACCATCCGTCAAGTGTCATATCCCTCTACAAGATGCAGGAGTGTACAAGCTGGATTGTGAATGTGGTCTCTCGTACATAGGACAAACAAAAAGATCTATTAAAACCCGCGTTAAAGAACATATAGCTGACGTGAAGCACCGACGTATCGGGAAGTCTGCAGTTTGTGAACATGTTCAGGATCGTCCCCGTCATTACATTAGATTTGATAGACCACAAATCCTCGCAAAAGAACACCGATTCCTCCCAAGGATGATTCGCGAGGCTATTGAAATTAAAAAACATCCTAATTTCAATAGAGAAGATGGATGGGTGCTGCCATCTGCTTGGGATCCCATAATTAATAAAATCAAATCCAAACCCAAGTATACCACTGCTAGACTTCAAGATACTGTAAGCTCATTCTGCGTAAATCGAACCAAAAATTAATATTAAAAAACTGAAGGTAGCCGGGCTAACTATGACAACAGGACGTCAAACAACTCCGTCCCCCGTGACCACGGGTGCTGGAAAGCACCCGAAACGTCGGGAATATAAAAATAAGTTAAAAATAAGTTAATATACGCGATAAAATCCGTAAAATTAGTTTTATTAAAAATGATAAAACCCGTAAAATTAATTTCATTCCATAAATTCAAGATAATCAGGAATCATTTATTCCTTAAAATCTTTGTGTTATTTTTTCGAAAACTGATTTCATTACAAACAGTTCACCCATTTCGAAGATTAGCCCGGACAGACAGACAGATAAAAATTTTATAAATGATTACTCAAGACTTAATGACATGTTAACAACTTCCTGAGCTCAATATAAGACAGTTATTTCGATATTAAAGACAAACACTTCAATTTTATTTCTATAACCTTACATTACGAGTACATCTCAAGAATGCGTCTACGTTCAGACATTAATTAATTATTAATCTTAAATACTTATTTTGATCGGGATTATTAAATATACTCACTCGACTCTCTAGCTTTAGTGTATGGATGAGATTGGATGACGGATCCTCTTTCATCGCCACATAATGGTGTTGAAATCGGGACTTTGGTGTGGTAATTTACATACATACACACATTAGAGAAGACAACAAATGTTAACAAATGGATATATCGCCAGAACCTCTTTCTTTAGTACTTAGGGTACCGACTGCATGTGTGAGGGTTGCGTAAGAGAGGTAATTTACAACGTAACGTAACGTAGGAAAAATATATCGTAGAGCTTTGTCCGTTCAGAAATTAGTGCTCGGCGTAAATTTCAGAGTACGCAAGCAAATCGGGTTCGATCTTGTCATCAATACATCTGTCCATCCATCCATTATATAAAATCCAACCTATAAAATTGAACATTGGCATCTCCCATAAATCTTCCTTATGAGGCCATTGGGAAATTGCCATAGTTGCTATGATTGGCATACGGGTTTTTTATTAAGTTCTTATCAGGAAGATGCTGCTCTCTACCTTCTGTTTCAGTGTCCCTCTGTGGGCGCTTACGACACGGGACGATATGAGGTAGTGGATATTCTTTCACCGCCATTACACAGTTTTGATCTTGTCAGCACCAATAAAATTGTTAATTGCAATTTTAAGTAATAATTTACCACTCGAAGTAAAATAAACATCGTGAGGAAAAGTGCAAGTATGAGGAATAGAAATATTTTGAAAACGTGGTGTCCGTCAACTTGCTCTGGATCAGAGCAGCGCACTAATTGCGCTATATCCCTATATCCCCTTCAGACATAAGAGTATGTCTGTACTCAGGAGTAAAACTTATTTATTTATTTATATAGGTCACCGACAGATGATACACAACAACTAAAAACAAGATACAAGCATTGTGAGAAACACACATTTGAGACGTCGGGAATAAAAATAGTAAAATAAACGCGATAAAATCCGTAAAACACAGTTTTATTCAACAACACTGTATAATTATAATATAAATGGTTGATAATAACCCCTGTGAATAAGGTCATCGCATTCAAGCTAAATAAGCTAAATAGCTTTTGTAGTAATTTGTAAACTTGTGTTCTATTTATTTATTTTTTAATAATTAATTCTAATTATTAATCTTTTTATTATTATTATTAATTGTATTAATATATATATTACTTTTTATTATTATTATAAATTGTAATTAATTCTTATTAATTAATAAGGAAGTCTTACAGACCAATATCTTCGTAAAATTACAAACTGGTGATAAGAATTGCTAATTACAAGCCTACGCATATTTATTTCATCTGACATTATGCAAATTTAAAATACTCCAGTGATTGCTCAAACTACTCACAAAAACAATTAATAAAAATTGCATTACTTAACCTGCCATGAGACACGGCTTACAGTTTGAGTTATGCTAGTGAATGAAAAACTCTCTTTTCATCAGTTTTCTTACAGATTTCAAACTATTAGAAAGTAGGTCAATATCTAATATAGATGAAATCTTATAAAATTCCACTGTGTTACGCAGAAAGAAAGATTTTTTTCTAAAATTTGTTGAAGTAAGATGTATTTATAGCACGGGTCTCTGTTTAAATCTTATTATATTGGTCTGAATCATTGTGCGAGTATACTTAAAACATCTGACTGTCGAAATTCAGCACGTCGAGCAAGTATTGCAAGACAACAAGCGTCGGGTCTCGCTCCTACATCACAGTGACCGAGTGAAGCCGGCCACAGTCGAGCGTGTGCCTGCTATACTACTCTATGTCAGAGGAGTCACAGACAAGATTGGCAACTTGAAGCGACCTTCTGTTAAAACATACTTCAAGCCAGCGAAGAAGATTAGTCAATTTTTACCATCCGTAAAGTGTAATATCCCTCTACAAGATGCAGGAGTGTACAAGCTTAATTGCGAATGTGGTCCCTCTTACATAGGTCAAACAAAAAGATCAATAAAAACCCGCGTGAAAGAACATATAGCTGACGTGAGCTACCGACGCTCTGGGAAATCTGCTGTCTGTGAACATGTTCAAGATCGTCCCCACCTATTACATCAGATTTGATAGACCACAAATACTCGCAAAAGAGCACCGAATCCTACCAGAGATGATACGTGAGGCTATTAAAAAACATCCTAATTTGAATAGAGAAGATGGATGGGTGCTGCCATCTGCTTGGGGTCTTATAATTAACAAAATTTAATCCAAACCCAAGCATATCACTGCAAGACTTCAACATACTGTAAGCTAATTCTGCGTAGATCGAATCAAAAATTAATATTCAAAAACTGAATGTCTTCCTCGTGGTCGTCTGTTACTGTCCGAAACGTCGAGAATTAAAATGTAAATTAAATGCGATAAAATCCATAAACATAGTTTTATTCAATGTGTAGTATTCGCGTTAATATAAGAAATTATTATGTAATTTTACTTTGATGAAAAAGATCCCGCTGCGTTTCTTGCTGATTCTTTCCAGGACATAAACTTTTTCCAAACCAGTGGTAAAAGAAAAAGTGACTTTCAATAAGAATTACATGTAATCTATTTTGAATAAAATATTCCATTCTACTCTGTGCCTTTGTGGGCTAGCTGTAGCTATTATTACCTATTAACCCTAGTTATTACTAATAACAACATGATGTTGTCGTTGGATTATAATGTCTTAATTAATTCAGGCCACATATACTACTCCAAATAACAGACTAGCGTCAATTAAGATAATAATGCAGTTACCGACTTCATATTGCTGATAGCTGTACGTTTATAACAGTCATTAGTTTTCTAACAGTCATTAACTATTGCATGAATGTTTTTATTTTATAAAAAGAGGGTGACAAACGAGAACACAGTTCACCTATTATCCATAGAGAATCAAAACGCAGATACGTTGTGATCCTTGAGGTCTATGATTGAATCACTCGTTCGCAGAAAAAAGGGTATCCGGTTCTCTACACTCACCATACGAAACACAGCAGCATTAAGCTGCTATTTAACGCTCGTATTCTATGAAAGCGTGGTCCTTCTCCAGTTGAATCGCTGCACCATGGCTTTACCACGTAAAATGTAGGAAGCCTAAATATCTTCCGGGCATTTCCCATAGTTGCCTCTTCCGTTACCTATAAATTAAATAAGGTTATGGTTTCTTTTTTTATAGGATAAGGGTGACAAACGAGCACACAGTCCACCTGATGGTAAGTGGTTGCTGCGGCCCATAGACATCTACATATATCCTCTATTACAAATCAAAATGCAGATGCATTGTTACTCGTGAGGACTAAGATGGAATGCCTCATTTCCAGTTAAAAGGGTCTCCGGTTCTCTACACTCACTATTTTACGCTGGTATTCTGTGAGAGCGTGGTCCTTCCCCGGTCGAGTCGACCCATTCGTGCTACAACTATACTAGCTACAGCATGGCTCTACCACGTAAAATCGACTTAAAAAAAATAGGAGGTACTCAATTCGACTGTATGTTTATTTTCGTTTTTATATGTGTTACCTTATAACTTTTTTCTCGGTGAACCGATTTCGATGATTTTTTTTATTTGAAAGCTGGTACTTTTCATGTGGTCAGTTTTTGAGTTATACTTGATAATTTACATTGAAAAAGATTGCACAAAATTTTTAATTTTACCGCTTGTTACTACCATTATACGTAACAATACATTTAGTGCTATTTTTACACAAATCCTTTCATCGGCATTATCATCACCATCACGTAAACATGTTGACACGATTGATGACTGCTTATTAAATTACAGGCAAAATATTTCGAATGGTAAAGATATTTTATAATATATCCTTTTGTTCCTAGGTGGACAGGGTCAGGAGCACGGACCAGTGTTCCTGATGGAGCCACCATCTCGGCTGGTGTTCTCAAACAGTACCGGTGCAAGAGTGTCGTGCGCCGCGCACGGAGCACCTGCACCACAATTGGCATGGCAGCTACCTGATGGGACTCAGCTGGACGACGCACCTGGTCTAAGGTAAGTGCGAGTAAATCCTTAAAGATTTCTTATATTTACGTGAATACTACACATTATATTAAACGAATTTAAAGCGCTTAATTTTAACTTTTTAACTCTTGACGTTTCGGTCGCTTTACAGCACTCTTCTTCATGCTTCATCTATACTGACCATACGAAACACACTGTGTTTCGTATCGTGAGTGTAGACCGGAGATCCTTTTTACTGAAAATGAGGCATTTCATTTTAGTCTACTATTATGAAGCCTTCCTGAAAACTCACTGTTTGTGTATTGGTAATAGGTAAAAATCATTCTCCTCTTTTTCTTCATACTCGTTCTCGACCGTTTGGTGCACGTAATGCAATCCTCTACTCGTCTGTAAAAAAAACTCTAGCCCACTGCTCATGAGATCAGTTGACGTCTCTTGCAACTCGGTATTGCCTGAGTAACTTTGGGGTGCGTGCTGGTCTATGGGCTTTTAAATCCTCTTCCTCCAAGCAACTAGGGTTAGAACCCTACGTTCGCTAACATTAACACCCCTCGTGATTTGGTACCGCTGACGAATTTCAACTGCGAGAAGGTAGCGACTGTGCAAAATTTCTAAAACAATGAAGCGGTCGTCCCGGACTGATCTTACACTTCCACTACCTGATCTGCGGGTGTAGCTGCCAATCATCTCGTCTCATAGCATACTGCATTAAAGAACGTGGTAGGTATATTAAGTGGCCATACCACTTCATGTTGTGTCAACCCATGGTCGATTAATACTATGGTTTGTGAAACCTGAGTGGGTTTAAAGGAGTGTTATTTTAGTTTTATTGCATCTTTAACTATTGTATTAAACGCACAAAATCACAAAAGTTCAGCAACCGAACGGTACACTTTTCACAATCCTAAGTTTAAAAATTCAAGCTAGTCACTCAAATGACCCGATTCAACTAAAACTTGAAATAAATTAATGTCACACTGTACTCAAACATAGTGAATTTCCCTCTTGAACTCGTCTTTAAAATTTTTGACCTACCTTCTCAAGAAATATTCATTATAAACACTCACGACTGCTATCACAAGATAAGGGCTTCGCTAAAATTCCGTGCCGCTGAGAAATCCTCAGATCAACAAAAAAGATAGACGGAGCGCTGCGTATATTTCAAATGATGCCAAAACCATGCTCAACTTCATGACACGAACTTACGCACACATTTTTCTTCTTTTATGTATGTAAATGTTCACTGCTGGAGAAACACATATGCACCTAAAACCATGTTGTTTGATGTGAATGATTTTACATCCAACAACGTACGTACGTGAGTGTGTGTCATGAATTTGATCATGGTTTTGGCATCATTTAAAGTATACGCAGCGCTCCGTCTCTTTTGTTCGGTGAGTTGAAATATAAATAAAGTTTTTCAGTATTAATAATTTGTATTTTATAAAACAACCTCAAAGAGAATACAAATTATTAAAAGTAGGAGTAGATTCGCTGCGAAATCGGATAAGTCAAAATTTGTTTTCTTTTCACCTTTTCCGATATCGTTCGAAAGGTATATATACTCTCGTAGCTCGAAGAGGGATTTTATTTCAGACTTCTTTATTCTTTATAAGGTACCAGGTGTACGAACAAAATATTTCTGCGTTTTACTGGGTTTTTGATACGTGTTTATAAAATACGATGCAGGAAGAACAGTCGCTTTTGTTGAAGAATAATATAGATGGAAATTTTCTGCTTTATATAGATATAATTTCTTATTCATGCACTTATGTAGGATATCACACACTAAGCAATAGAATCATAAACATATGGAATAAGTTACCTCAAGACGAGGTTGATGCTGTTTCAGTTTAAAAAACAGACTGGACAAATGGCGCAAAGACAATCTAATTTTGTGTACTCTTAGTGTGGGCTTGGACTATTATAAAATACCAATACAGATATAGGCTTATCATTAATATAAGGCGACTGCTCAGACCCGTCCAACTACAGACCTATCGCCATCACCCCCTTGTTCTCCAAAATAATGGAATCCGTTATAAACTGCCACCTCATGCGGTACCTTGAGGATCACCAACTGATTAGTGACCACCAGTACGGTTTTCGTCGGGGTCGATCAGCTGTTGATCTTCTGGTCTACTTAACTCATAGATGGGCGGAGGCATTAGAGTCTTAAGGGGGAGGCATTGGCCGTTAGTTTGGACATTGCAAAGGCCTTCGATCGGGTTTGGCACAAAGCGTTTCTTTCGAAGCTCCCTTCCTATGAGCTTCCCGAGAAATTATGCAATTGGGTCACCAGCTTTCTTGCAGATCGGAGCATCAAGGTCGTTGTAGACGGTGCATGCTCCGACTACAAGCCTATTAACGCTGGTTTTCCACAAGGCTGCGTGCTATCACCAACGCTGTTTCTTCTGCAAATCAATGATATGTTGCAAACCGGTAGCATTCATTGTTATGCGGATGACAGCACTGGTGATGCTCTATACACCGGCCGTGCCAATATTTCTCGGGAAAACGTCACCGAGTACCGGAATAAACTTGTGTCTGAAGTCGAGTCTTTGCTGGGCAAAGTCTCGGATTGATAACTCTATACTCTTCGGCAAATCGTAAAGTAGAACGAAGAGTACAATCTGCCACTTTAATTTACTTATGTGGACTATGAAAAAGCCTTTGATTCCATCAAAATTTAGGCGGTATTGCAGTCCCTTCAGCAGTGCTAAGCTGAATGTCGATATATCGAAGTGCTATAGTGTTTGTACAGTAGGGCTACGATAGCTATCCGAGTACAGAAACAAAGTACGATACCTATCCAATTGCAGAGAGGTATAAGACAGGCTGATGTTTTTTTATAGAATGAGGGTGACAAACGACCACGCAGTCGACTTGATGGTAAGTGGTTGCTGTGGCCTATAGACACCTACATTTTTCTTCAAATACGAATCAAAATGCAGATGCGTGGTCAACCCTAAGTACTAAGATGGAATGCGTCTTTACCAGTAAATGGTCTCCGGTTCTCTACACTCACCACACGAAACAAAGCATTAGCTATTTTACGCTGGTATTCTGCGATAGCGTGGTCCTTTCCTGGTCGAGCCGACCCCCGAAACTCTTAACCGTTTTCTGCCGACTTCAAAAAGGAGATGGTACCCAATTCGACTGTATGTTTTTTTATGTGTGTTACCTCATAACTTTTTATTGGGTGAACCGATTTTGACGATTCTTTTTTTATTTGAAAGCTGGCTGATTAGAAAAGTATTAACATCAATGGCGAGTACATCACTCACCTTCGATTTGTTGACGATATATAGTCCTTATGTTAGAATCGCTGGAAAACCTAAACACTATGCTCAATGACCTCAACAGTGCGTCCCAACGGATATGTCTTAAGATGAACATGGGCAAAACAAAGATCATGTCCAACGTCCATATCACACCTATGCCGTTAGTTCTTGAGAGCACTAAGGTAGAAGTTGTTGACGAGTATGTTTACCTGGGACAAGTAGTCCCATTAGGTGAGTCCAACTTTGACCGAGAGGTCAATCAACGGACTCAACTCGGGAGGAAAGCTTTCGGAAATTACGACACATATTCTCGTTAGGTATAACTCAAAATTTGATAATTTAAAATAAAAATTTTGTACAGCCGACTTCAATATAAGTTATTTAAGAATTACTCAAAAACTATTAGTGTGAAATTGATCAAATTTATATGAGACCACACAAGAACTATCAGCTTTCATATAAAAAAAGAATCATCAATATCGTTTCACCCAGTACAAAGTTATGAGGTAACACACATTAAAAAAAACATACAGTCGAATTGAGTACCGTCTCCTTTTTGGAAGTCGGCAGAAAACGAGATTGTACAACTTATGAATCTAACACATGATGCTTCACTATTGACCGTATGAGGAAGCTCAAGGTCAAGCTTAAACTCAAGGATAGGGCTATGCTCGGGGTTTCTCTGCATGAGAAATTTAGAAATGAGCTAGAGTAACCAACAAAGTCAAACGAATTAGTAAGGTGAAGTGGCAACGCGCCAGCTATAAAGCTCGAAGAACCGACAACCGACAGGGAAGTTAGGTTCTCGAGTGGCAGTCTCGTACCGGTAGGCGAAGTATCGGTAGTGAACTTGTGAAGGGCTGTAATAATGATGATAATGATGTCACCTCTGAAGACTAAGACGAAATGCCTCGTTATCAGTACTTATTACTGGATGCTAGATGTAATCTTTTTCAGTTTGGCACTATCTTGCAAGTAAAATAACTACTTATGTAATATGATGATTTTAATTACAACATTTTTACTATTGGAAGTAGATCTGTTCTGTGTCGCATCAGGGGCGTAGCTACCGCCGTATCAGCCGTATCAATGATACGGGGCCCCCGGGCTACAGGGGCCCCAAACGTGTGTGAGCAAAAATTCCAAGGACTTCTATGGGACAGGAAAGGCTATCACTATTGTCTATAGAAGTAAAGAATTTAGTAAAACTGAAATCGTCTTCAGCTATGAATGCAGCCGAATCTTCTTCAGCTGTGTTCGCCGAACAAAAGACACGAAAAGTGTATATTTGATTTGAATTGTTTGGCTAGCTTAGTTCCTAGGAGTATTAATTGTAAGTAATAACTCAAAAACCCATGTAGTGGCACGGGTGGCAGTGGAGAACAATCACTACCCTATATCTTCCCGTGGGTGTCGTAAAAGGCGACAGAGGGAAACTGAGGTAGAGGATGGGCAGCAGCATCATAAAAAAACTGCGGTTGCCAACCCGCTCGCCAAGCGTGGCAACTATGGCAATATACCCCCCATGAAAGTAAGGAAGAGATGGCACCCAGTCTCCGGCGCTATTCCTGGCTACGGTGGTGACCATGGTAACGGCGGGGCAGGAGGTGCTAAGAATATCCGGTGGAGGTTTTGTTGCCACCTACGAAGACTCGACCTGGCAACTTATAACGCACGCACCCTGAGGACTGACGAGAAGATCGTGGAGCAGGAAGAAGAGATAGACAAGTTGCGCTGGAATGTCAT